TACGAATTATAAAAGATTAACTTTTTTTTAAGTTGAATATGAACCAATACTGTTTTATTTATGACATTTATGAGTAGCTAACGTATTCTGGAATGGCCCTTAGTGTAGCCACGCATAAAAGAAACTCACGATATGTGACGTATTACTTCCATGGTAACATGTGTGAACACTGGTTACTTGCTTCTAATAATTAACTGTTATCGATTTTATTATTATTATTATTAATTTATTGATTGTTTTAAAAGGATTAAATAAATATTAAATCTCAAATCAATAAAGAAATTATAAACTAAAAAAATATTTTTTGTAATATCAAAAAAATAAAAAATACTTTTAAAGCGGACAGTTGGTTTTTATGTAAACCAATATTAAAGTCTAATATCTTAATGCACCATTTTCGCAACTTTTCCACCATTTCGGATAAATGATAATATATGTTCGTATTTCTTAGGATTTAAAGAAGAATTTTTATAGATTAGATTTTATAGATTTTATAGATTATCCATTGCGATGCAAAATTTGACCTTGTTTATCAGTTCTTTTTGATAATTAACAAAGTTTACTCTTGGCGAATTGTTTAAACACAATTATTACTCAAACGGTACAATTGTAAACAAAAGTAAAATTACTACAAACAACTACAAACGATTCTGAAGCACATAGAAAAAAAACAGATTTGGGAAATATTGATAATTAACAAAGTTTACTCTAGGCGAATTGTTTAAACACAATTATTATTCAAACGGTACAATTTTAAACAAAAGTAAAATTACTACAAACAACTACAAACGATTCTGAATCATATGGAAAAAAACGAAATTAAGAAATATTGATAATTAACAAAGTTTACTCTAGGCGAATTGTTTAAACACAATTATTATTCAAACGGTACAATTATAAACAAAAGTAAAATTACTACAAACAACTACAAACGATTCTGAAGCACATAGAAAAAAACAGATTTGGGAAATCTTGATAATTAACAAAGTGAACTCTTGGCGAATTGTTTAAACAATCGTAACTTTTAAACGATACAACTACAAACGAAAGTAAAATCACTACAAATAACTACAAACGATTCTGAATCATATAGAACAAACGAAATTAAGAAATCTTGATAATTAACAAAGTTAATGATAATTAACAGTTGGCGAACTGTTCACACGCAACTATTACGCAAACGGTGCAACTACAAACAAAAGTAAATTCACTACAATCAACTACAAACGAAATACTATTATTTTTTGTATTGAAAAATCATTTTTTTTAAAGTGGGGTTCCAGGTTCACATACCTCCCGGCACTGTTGGGTCGATCGCGAGCGTGGGCTGATGTACAGAGAAGGCCTTCCCGTTGCGCCGGGAATAAGCGAGGGCGGCGGCCCTAGGAGTACGTTGTGAAGGAAGGAAGGACGAGATGTAAACGACCAGCAATCCCGGACCGCAGGTATCGGGGAACAGCGGGGCGGATTGTCGAGTACCGTCTCGCGTTATTTTTGAGAGAGACGCGTAGGTTTGCTTGAGAGTTTCCTTACCTACGCGTCATTGTCGTGAATCCCTTGCCGGGATTATCGCTTTTCCGTTTCGTTTCTACGGGTAAGACATAGCCCGCCCGCTGACTCCCCGTAATAATACCGAAGGGGCGTCCGTTTCTTCCCGACTCGACCGGTGTGGTATAAGATTTTGAGTGTAATCGAGTAACGACGAGCGACCGCGTGGCACCGGCCATGCGTCATGAGTGTGGCGCGTATTGCGAGATCAAACCTCGCGGATCGGCTCAACAGTCATTAGAGTTAAGTTACCGTTTCGAGCTTTTCGAGATTATCGTTTATGAGTATCGCGTCTATCGATCTGTGTGTAAGATATCTGTGTTTCCGTTAGAGTTAGTTTTCGCGTAGTAAAACTTCGTCGTGCGGGCTTTCGTGCGTACGGTCGTTCTGGGGCGTGTCGGTCTCCGGAATACGTAAAGTACCGCGCCCGGTACGGGAAGTGTGAGGCGTCGAAATACCGAACATAGAGTCAGCCTTCTCGAAAAAGGGGCCGGGAATCGACCGCGATTAACGTTCAGAAATTTAGAGTAAGATTTACTCCGACTGAGGGTACCACACGCCACGGGCGGAATTAGGCGTGAGTATCACGTGCTCGCGGTGTGGACCGTGCGGCGAGGTTTCGCGTTACGTTTCGAGGGGTGTTATGCGAGAACTCCTATTTTGCGTGTATCGTTTAGGTTGCGAGAAAACCTTGAGTTATATTGCGCGTATCGTTTATTTTGCGAGAACTTATTGTGCGCGTATCGTTTATTTAGCGAGAACTTTTGCGAGAAATCCCGACTGTGTATCGTCCCCTCAGAGAGAAACCTTTATTTTGCGTGGGCCGTTCGTTCTACGCGGAGTCCTTATTTTGGGGATATTACTCCTTCGGCGAGAATGTCCGCATGTAGCTTTCGTTCCCGAGAACTCTCCGTTCGCGTGCGTTGAAGTAGAGTCATTCTCAGTAATGGGTCGCGGACTTCATAGAGTAGAGTATTTCCGGCGTGTAGTATTTCGTCGTCGTCCTTACTAAGTCCGTGCTTTTCATCGCGTGGATTGTTTCTTGCGTGTGTTAGTTCGTCGGCGCATATTATTATGTTTCGCGCATTTCACCGCGTAGATTATCCCTGACGTGGATTACTTCGTTGGAGTATATTATTGCGCCTCGCGTACTTCCTAGCGTAGAGAGTTCCTTATTGCGAGTACAAGCTACACGTACGTTTTCCGAAAATATTAGTTCTGCGTCCGAGTTTATTTATAACGCGCGGACCCTTCGAAAGACCTTGCGTGGTCGGGGGATTGCGATTGATCGCGGTGAATAATTCGCTCGCGTCCTGTAAGTTGTAACGCTATTATCAAGCTTTCTCTTATATTATATTTTGATTTACCTGTTACTTGAGTGCTTTTTTTTTGTTTGTTTCGCCTCACCACGGTCAAACCCCTCCACATTCAGCCTAGGTAAGGACCACGACCCTCTACCGAAACTCCTGAGCAGTCGTTGCGATCGGCCAGAGCGGATGTGTCATGACGTATGAATTAAGAGTTGTGTCGATAATTAGAGTTTATGTCGGATCTATGTAGAGTTCATGTAAAGTACTTTTCGCGGGTTAGAGTAAACGGTGGTGTGGCCGTATCCACACCTGGCGCCCAACATTGTTTCGTATCGCTTTCGAGATCCGCTCTGCCACCCGATCATAGATTGGCTACGCGCTTCAGTCCCGCCTCTCGGCCCGGGGAAAATAATATAGAGAAATAGCGTCGCAATGTATAGTAAGATGAGAAATTATCAAGGACTTAAGGATATTCTAGAGGTACAGATCCAACCAAAAGTAATGCAGGGGGATCCAAAGACAAAAAAACATATATATGTATATATAAAGATAGATAGATATATATATATATATATATATATATATATATATATATATATATAAAGACTGTAGATTTAGTGACTAAATAACTATTACTACCATTTTTTTCGAAAAAATCTTGAAAAAAAATTTTGTAAATTGTTTCAAATTTTGTTGCTATATTTTTGTTTGTTGATGATCTACTTATGTGTAAAATATCATTATATTGGTAGCATTTTTTAATGTTTACACTTTTCTCTGTAACGCTATAAGATTACGTGTTAAAACTCGATATTCAAAAATTGATAATTTTTTATCTAAATTGTAAATTGATCTAAAATTTAGCTCCAAACTTTGAAAGAGAATACAGAATATGATATTAAATTTTCATTAATTCGTAGCATTTTGACAAACCCTCTAGAACATCCTTAATTTATGGGATAAATTTTGGTAAAGTTGCAGAAGTACTGCCTCACCTCAAAATCGAATAAAAAATACGTTTTCGACGTATTTTTGGCTGCTGATTACGAATATCATAATATAATTTGGCGGTCGGACATATTGGAGCCGCCATTTTGAAACAAACCTCGAAAAATGCGACTCTTTGCATTAAATTAATATTGCAGATTTCAGATATATTAAAAAAAGATAAAGCAAGGTAGAGAAGACAAAATGCGAGGTACTTTGCATACGAACGTAAACGCATTATGGTCACATTCATCGCTTATTTATGAGCTTCCTTTTGAGATTAGGAAAAAAATTTATACAACTTTTTTATAGGTAATTTAATACTCTTATCTTTTTTATTTGAAACATTTTTTTATTCGATGCATATTTTTGACTATAGAAGCAAAAATATAGAAAAAGTCGCGTTTTTCGACGTTTCTTTTTTCAAAATAGCGGCTTCAATATGTCCGACCGCCAAATTATATTATGATAATCAGCAGCCAAAAATACGTCGAATACGTATTTCTTCATTCGATTTTGAGGTGAGACAGTACTTCTGCAACTTTACCATAATTATATATAATTGTCAACAAAAATTTATAATCAAGCAAAACCTTGAACCTTTTATTTTACATATACATACATACATAAATATATATGTGTGTATATATACATATTTATTTAATTATTTACAGAATTAAAAAAATACGTATTTTTTGTAAAATTCGTAATTTATTGCATATCGCCTCAGGGTTCGCAATCTACTACCAATACTATCCTTCTTCTCTCACTTTAACCCTTTGGACCAACGGCTTAACGTCTCTTTCCGAAAGACGGAACCCAGTTTTCTCCGCACAAGATCCTATCTTGCACGGAGGGACGCAGCTATCGGAAAAACATTCCATGCTTCATGGCTCTAGTGGACTCGAACCTGATTCCTCAGATTACGAGTCTGGCGCTCTACCACTAGACCACACTGCCGCCATTAATAATAGAATTATTTATAGTAGACCCCAAAAACCCCCAAGTAACGTGTTTCAAGTGAATCCGATGAATTTAAAAAAAAATCAGTCCGCCATATTGGATCCGCCATTTAAAATTTTTAAAATCTGACTTCAATTTCGTAATCAGCGACCCCAAAAACCTTTGAGTAACGAGTTTCAAGTAAATCTGATAAATTTAAGAAAAATTTGTCCGCCATATTGGATCCGCTATTTTTATTTTTTTGAAAGACATCCAAATCTTAGTGCTATCTATTCACAAGCTATGTATCCTCTTTTTTCCATTAGAAACAACAATTTAATCATATGATTTGTGTTTTTAACTCATATGAAGCGCCATATTTTGACCGCCATATTGAATTTTCAAAAGTACCACACTGTATTTGATAGAGCACACAAAAACAAAGATTTTAAGCCCTAAACCATTTTAATCGGTTCAATAGAATTTTGGAGACGGCCCTGTCCCGGTTGACATGGAACGTCTCATATATATATTTTTATATATATATATTTTTTATTTAATAAAATTAACTATAAATGATTCTAAATCTTGAAGTTTAACACTTTGATCTCATACCCTCTTATAAGTTTTCCTGTACTTTTCATCCACCTGCATTAAGTAATATGTACCCGAAAACATGTCGTCTATACTACTCTCTGGAGTAAATGGCACAACGTGGCAATTTCGTTCCCTCGATGCCAACACTTTGGTGTAGTTCTCCGGAGAAATGCAGTGACGTCCCTCTAATTGCGACTTGACGTAAGAAAGAGCGGTGACGATCTTCGACAAGCCAGAACCTTCTCGCGTGTCCCTTGCTACCGTCAACGAGTACATGCTGGAGCATGTACCCCCGCCGTAGGAAAATATGCCGATCTTGTTACCTGCCAATTGATTTATCGGCTTTGATATGAGCAACGATACTAAACCAGAGTACACCGATGGCGTGTACATGTTTCCAACTTGATTTGCTATCAGAAGGCTGGGTTGGGTCTTTTGCTCGAAGTCCACTTTGCTCAATTGCATGAAGGTCTTCTCAATGTCCTGGTTGAAGTAGGTGTCTTCGAGCTTGGTGGCATGGAATTTCATCGCGTTCTTATAACCGTCGGGGATCTGATTCTCCGACATGTTTTTGAAGTCGATGAAGGCCAACCTGGCGAACGATTTTCGTATAAGTTTACAATACGGTGAGTGGAAGAGCATCGAGTCAAAATTGGTCAACGTCACAGGGCTCTCGCCAGGGCTCTTCCTCCTGACTTTCTTGCGGTACAGCTGATAACAGCTGTCCAGAGCGCTGAGATAGTACTGGATCGACAGCTTGCCGTCTACGACAGGATACTCGGAGCGTAGGTCCGGCTTGTAGAAGTCGTAAGTGTGTCTCATGCAAAAAGCCCGGAGACCATCGTGCACGAGAGGCGCGTCTGGACCTACCAAGATGGCTATCGCACCTGCGCCGCCGGTGGGCCTGGCGCTACCCGTAGAATACACCGCGTTATCAGCTGCAACGACCAGAGCGAGTCTACCATCCCAGGCTCTGCTTTCCACCCAATTGATCGCGTTGAAGAGCGCGGCGGTGCCGCCGTAGCACGCGTTGGTGGTATCTGCGCCCCCGATGTCGGTGCAATCGTATGGCTCAAACAGCTGCATCAGCACGGTCTTGACCGACTTGCTCTTGTCGAGGATGGTTTCGGTGCCAACCTCCAATCTACCGATGTCCCGTGGCTTGACATTATAACGTTCCAGCAACCGGTGGGTAACAGTTAGGCACAACGAGTTGATGTCCTCCCGGTCATTACAAAATCCCATTCGCGACTGGCCCAGGCCAATCGTGTACTTGCCTGCTGACACGCCGTCAAATGCCTCCAACTCCTTCTGCTCCACGTACTGTGCTGGGAAGTAGACCTCCAGGGCCAGGATACCGACGTCCTTTGGCCTTGACATCTTGTTGAGTCAGGTAGCAAGTATTCTCAGAAACGATGTTCCTTCTCTCTCTTTTCTTTCCCGCGAGGTCAGATGTAATCACCCTGGCGACGGTTGAGCCTGTTGATTGATTTTGATTAATCGCTGCGCTATTCTCGCGTGATACGCGAGTACCTGACCCTATTGAATTCACTACAGTACAGGCAACTGCGTAGCCGCACGCGACGTACTTCCGATATTCCTGGTAGATGTAATGACTTCCGTGTAACGTTTGCCGATAATATATATATATATATATATATATATATACATATACACACCCGCTCGCTCGTCCTCACCAAATTCAGGTTAGAAGTGAAACTCTGCTTGGCTCAGTGAAAATCCCGGTCGTCGCGTCGCTTTCGATTGCGTGCTTCGAAGCCCGCGAGTGACGCACCTCCGTCCCGGTTAAAGTCGGCCGGTCAGCGGTTCGCTCGCTCGTTCACTCGCTTAACTCGTCTGCTCCTCACGTGGTCGCTCGCGACACCGGTCGCCGATGAAGAGGTTCACTGCCGTCAGCCGTGGCCGAACTTTCGCAGGCGAATGCGCACGCAGCGCTTGCGCGCGCGGTATAAATGGTATAATCGGGACTATGCCGGAGGAGCGGGGAAGGGGGAGAAGGACAAAGGTTTACGGTTTACTGCTGGTGGAACGGCGGAACTCGCGAACTTGGCGGACCTTGGAGTCTCGTGAGTTTTGCATGACAATCTCCCGGGGTCATAACGACATCAGGCTTGGAGACAATACGCGGAAAACGCGAATTTGCGCGACCGTAACGCGCGTCCAAATACCCACGCGCCGCGTGCGAATACTTCTCAGAGAACATTAAAACTGAAGAAATTTTTCATATATAATTATATGTATATTATATAAATAGTGTTTGCCGTAGATGATGTTTCAAAAAATTTGAGATGAAGATAGAATGAAAATTCGTAAATTCATCTTACAATTAGATGAGATAAAGATTATTTTGTTTTTAATTAACCCAGATAAAAGATCAGATGATTATCGCGATTTATCTAGATAATTTTGTGTTTATGAGACTATAATTTATAAAAATTTAGAAAAAGAATTACGCAGAAAAATAAAAGAAATATTGAAACAATTTTATTTTATAGGTATATTTAATATAATATTGTTAGTATCTTTATATATATAAAATACAATATTTTTATTTTAAGTATTTATTTCTCCAAAAATGGAAGTTTTGCGAATGCTTCATTTAATAACCGTTTTCGACAGGGTATACTTATGGTGCTAAACAGTGTTGTACATTATTCGAATAAATTTTTATTCGATTACGAATAACGAATAATTTTTTTATTCGTTATTTTTTATTCGTTGATAGAATTATTCATCATTAAAATTATTTGTTATTCACAGTTAAATATGTTTATTCGTTATTTTTTATTCAAAAATAAAACAAAATATATAAAAATTTTGTTAACAAATGATAATATTTTGTGAATGTAAAGTTATAATTTATTAATTAGTATATTTTTAATATATTTTTAATGTTAAATAAATAATTAAAACTAAAGAAATTAAATAAATTTACAATTAATAAAATAAAAATTTAATTTAATAAAAACCTGTGTCATTAGTTTTAATTAATAAAATAAAAAACAACATAAAAACTAATCTTATTTATAAATAGAAAAAGAGAAATTTAATGAAAAAAGTACATAATCAACTTTAGTTTTCCAAAAGTGTAGATTTCAGAATGTTTTTCTTTTAGTTTAACAAGTTTAAAAAAAATCACTTAAAAGTAATTATTATCAAAGTTTATTTTTATTTGATACATTTTTATTTAAAAATGCTTTCAGAAGCACACGTTTTTTAAACATACTGTCTGATAATCGATGATATTTGGCTGTATTAATCATCGTAGCAAATGGAAATAATCTCTCCACCGGAGCCGAAGAAGAAATGAATGTATTGTATTTTATAAAGCTTTCTTTATTGTAGGATATTTTTCTAGATAAGATATCTGAGAGTCT